CCATCCATCCATCCATCCATCCATCCATCCATCCATCCATCCATTCATTCATGCACTTACTAATTCAACAAATACCTGTTGAGTGCAATCACCATTTAATAATTCATTTTCCTGGGTTTGCAAGATATGTTTAAAAAACCATCCTGCAATTATTTTTAGGAGCTATCCAAGTCCATGGTTTTCTCGACTATACCTTCCAGTTTAACAGAACCTGTTCTCATGGGAACCAGTGGTAGAGAGGACCGTATCTTTGGAATACCCCAGCTATAGGAAGCCACTGTCAGTTTTTCTGACACCTCTAAATATCTCCAGGGGTTCCAGAAGCTATCTCCTAGTCATAGCCAGTGCATCATCTCAGACAGCGGAGATGAGCCTCTTAATTGAAGGAACATAGTTGAACACCATGGGGAATCAGGGTAAGCTGTCAATTATACATCAGCAAAGGACTACCATACTGAGCCACTGGTGGTGGCAGTGAGCAGTGGGCTCCTCTCTGGAGATGCTTATGTCCTCGTGGACACTTAAGCAGTTGCCAAAGCACATGCCCAGCTACCTGGGGAAGAAGGTTTTGTCTACAGCGGCCTTCCCCAAGCTAGCCAGAAGCTGCGTGCCCGTGATGCTGGCCCAGAAACCTGACCGCCCATCCCTCACCCAAAGCCCCACTAGCATCACCTAAATATTGTAGTTTCTGATTCCCAAGCCTTGAGGGCTACCCCTCTTTCAGAGACATCAGAAATTCCTCCGTGCCCATACTCAAGGGGTGTAGATGGAGAAATAGACACTGTCGCTGGCATAGCAATCACTTGTGTAGACTGTCAGCCGCATCCGGTGAGTTATACGGCAGTAATAAAGGACCCCTAAATCTCCTTGGCTCAGCATATAATGGTGCATTTATCAGTCCTACCTCCTGTTCTCAGGTTGCACGTAGCTGTGCACAATGTGTCCTTCTCACCAGGCCTCACCAGGTGGGGCCTCTATCTAGAATATGTGCTGGTTCATGAAAGATGGAAAAGACCCATGGTGGGCCAGGCAGTGCCTCCTAAAACTTCTGCCCTAACATGATCATTATCACCTCCACTCACCTTTCACTCATCAGTGCAAACTACGTGGCCAAGCCATGGATAAGTGGATCAGAGAGGCACGTTTTGAATAGAACATATTTGACCATCATTTAGTCCTAGTGGCCATAATGGTGTTCATTCAGACTGCCTCCCAGGTTTTTCCACCCACTGAAAATAAAAGACCTTCTACTGGACAGGGTGCCTGAAGGCAGGGCCCATTTCTGCACGCCTATCACAGTGCCTGGCATACAGTAGACAAAATCTAACCACGTATTGAAAGAATGTGGAATTGATGTTGCCAATGTGAGGAAACAGAGTAAGACCGAATCCTTGATTACGATGGCTCCTCTCCTCAGAGACCTTCCTCTCAGCCCATCTGTCAGAGACCCCGTGGTGGAGCGTCAGGGGCGCCGTGGCAATGGCCACTGTGAAGACCCACCTTGAAGCCATCCAGAGCCAAGAGCAAAGGCTGCTTCTGTTAGGAAGAGCAGGCAGTGACCTTGCCCGCAAGCCAAATTTGGACTCTCACACCACAGTCTATCCCATTTAATCTAGTTCCTTCTCTATCTGCTGTCCGGGAAAGGTGTCCCCATTCTGGTAGGGTTTAGAAATCTTACCTCACTGGGGCTTCCCTGCCCTCAGTCCTCAAGCTGCAGTTGTTGTTCACCAGATCAGTGTCTCTGTCCCCAATGGGAACTGCACATAGAATTCCAAAAGATCATCTTAAATACACCTGATGTGCAGGAGCTATGGCACCATATTTACAAGCGATGTGTCTCATTTACCCACTGCCTTCCCATGGGATCCCTTGGAGAGAGGAAAGAGAGAATTTCAGAAGATAGTAAATCTGTTTTTACGTGCACCAAGAAATGAAATACAACCATACCATCTGGTAAATGCAGCTTGATGTTTGCTGGTAGTTAGGAGACATCTATGCATGAGGAGGAGGCCCGCTGTTCTACCTTGCCCGGGAAGACGTGGAACTCTGCCTTCCCTGGCTTGTCAGGGCACGGGGTGGCTTCCACAGCCTCCACCTGGGAGAGGCTGTGTGTGCAGAAAGATGGGGTTCTGTTGGACTGTGCTGTGCTAACACAATAATCAAAATGAGGCAAAAGAACATTTTTACTGGGAGAGCTGTTTTCTAGACCTAGGGCTGCCCCAGGTAGCTGTGTGTCCATGGCAAGTCGCTTCCCTCCTTTGGTCCTCCCGTTGCCTGTTTGTAAAGTGAGCAGGAGATAACAAGAGCTTCCTTCGGGTTTCCCCTGGGGTGCGTGGGGAACCTGAGTTTTAGATCATCCTAATAGGGTCTGTTTCTTACCTGGTTATGATCTTGGGTATGCTAATATTTAGACTCATAATAGTATTCACCTCGGAGAAGACTACCTATGGAAAGCATGCGAAGTGCTTAATTGAGGGCTGGCATCCGTAGTACGCCATCAACTAGAATATATATTTGCCGTCCTGGCTCCCAGTATCTCCAGAACATGAGTCTAGCCTTCTACACAATGTCAGCTGAGCCTGTCTGTGTGACCATTTGTCCAGGCTCAAACTGAGCAGTTTCTGGAAGCTTCCCCCACCGTGAGACTCTCACAGTGCTGAGTGAACCACTGAATGCTAGGGAAACATTTTTTCAGACAACATAACCTTACAATTGCAAGCCAGTGTTGCTGACACTAGACCCAGTGAGATGCCCAAAGGTAGAAGAGAAAATTGGTTGGCCAACCTGACTCTACAGGTGTTTCATTGTGACTCACTTCAGGACCCAGCCTGGAGGAGGCTGGACTCTAAAAGAGAGAATTCAGAATACCAATGAGCCTTGGCAAATGGCAAGTAATACACACGCCAAGACTGTCCACTAAGTCAATCTAAATTGATAACCAATACATCAGAGCCTGTTCCAGAACAGAGTCCCATATGCCCAACTCCCAATATGGGGCACACTGTGTTCCTGACTCTTATCATCTGATAGTATCAGGAATCCCCCAGGCCTCTTCTTCCCTGGATAGCTGTCCCTTGCTCCTGTGTGAAACATATGGATTCAGGAGACTTTTTGGCAGCATCTGAACCTCCACTGAGCATCAGTCAAGCTCTGAGGATCACCCCCAAAGGTTAAATCCAGTGTCCTCTGCCAGGCCAGTCACTTCTTCTGCCTCAGCGCTGACCTCCACATTGCCTCTGTCTTCTGTCAGCCCGTGTGCCTTAGCCTGCACGAATCGTAGGAGCCACAATAATGATAGTAACAATGATAATGATTAAACTATAACTAACATTAAAGAACATTCAACAAAACACTGTTGTAGGCAGTACCTGGTACATGGGGAGTTGTTGCAGAAGGTGGAAAGTCAGAAAGGACAAGTGACTTCCTCACAGTCACAATGCCAGCCAGTGGCACTGCCACGTGTTAAAGCAGGTTCCACTTATGTTTAGGACTCCTGTTCTCAACCACTGTGCCATTGGGCCTAAGTGAAATATTGCATTAAAATAAAAAGGGTGAGGAGGGCTCACCCTCCTCAGAGGATCTGCACATAGACCTTCTCCCAGCTATAGCTGTGATCACACTGTCATTACCGTGTCTCTTCTTGTGGGTCTGTACTCCCCAGGTGAGGAACTCAGTCAGTCTCCTCTACAGCACCAGCACCTAGCAGGAGTCTTGGCTCTCAATGACTGGGGTGTTACGAGAGGGACGAGTGAAGGAATGAATACCTGGGCCTAAAGCAAACACTGGTCTTCTCCAGCAACCTCCCTGGTTTCTCCCCAGTGTCCACATGCCTCCAGCCCTTTGGCTCTGTGTGATAATTCCGCCCTGTCTTGCCCGTGCAGCTTGTGTGTGTGTCTAGAAGCTATGGGTAACTCCGCACCCAGACAGTAAGTAACTCTGATCCAGGTAGGACATTTGGTCTGGATTCTCCTCCAGTTCATGAACTTGGCCATAGAGTGCCCTCTTCATGAAAGGATCAGTCACTGAGTGGATCCATCTGCTCCCAGGAGGAGAAGCCAGAAGGTGTTCACCCCCATCTCCTGAGAAATGCCCTTTCCCCCTTTATGTCTCATGTCTCCTGCAGGAGCCACCTCGGGCATCATCGACCTCCTGCCATCCCCAAGTGCTGCCACCAACTGGACCTCGGGACTGCTGGTGGACAGCAGTGAGATGATCTTCAAGTTTGATGGCAGGCAAGGTGCCAAGGTCCCCGATGGGATTGTGCCCAAGAACCTGACAGACCAATTCACCATCACCATGTGGATGCAGCACGGCCCCAGCCCAGGTGTGAGAGCCGAGAAGGAAACGATCCTCTGCAACTCCGATAAGACAGGTGAGTGAGGCTCATCCCCTCATGGCTCCACCCTGTATCCGAGTGGATTGTGCACAGACAGCCATGGCAGCAGGACCCCGGGGTTTCTAGAGCAGGACCAGAGAGGAGGAACTGTACAGGTGCAGACACGAACATGCCAAACAGTGGGACCCGCGGCCTTCACACAGCGTTCCTCCAATCCCAGGATTTCTCAGCGACTTCAGGACTGCTGTAGGTGTGGTAAAAAGGGAACCTTCATATCTACTTTCCCTTCCAGATTGTTCACCCATCCTCCCTTATTTAGACAGACCAGCGGAGACAAAAACAAGAGAGAGTGAAATAAAGCAACAAAAGAAAACAAAGCAGTTCTACCTTTACCTATATTATACACTGGGTTTGTTTTTTTAATCTTTCTTTTGAATGGAAGGCTTTAGCTGATTTTAGAAGGACCGAGGTCTGTGAAGGAGCCCTGGGGGCATAGTGGTTCCGAGTTGAGTGCTAACCACAAGCAGGCTCTGAGCGAGAAGGCTGAAGCTCCCTACCCCCATAAGGAGTTACAGTCTCAGACAGCTCTGCCCGCTCCTATAGGCTCGTCATGAGTGAGGTATTTTCTTTTTGTAGTTTGTAAATTACTGACATTCATAATAATGCTAGCTATCACCTGTTGGCATCTTCCACATACTGAGCCTGTGTGCACCAGTTCACGGTGGGTAGGTAAAAGTGCTCCACAACATGTAGCTAGATGACTTTGAACCGGTTTTTAGCCTTTCTACCCATCAAGCGGATGTAGCTGTATCTCTTAAGTCGTCAGGATGTAATGACTTAGAGGAAAGCAACCGTGTGCGGGGTTTCTCACGGAAAGATCCAAGCTCTCCAGCTGCTTTACAGGAGGAGAGACCGCTGCATCAGTGAAGATTCACAGCCTTGAGGTCTATGGAGGTCATTCTACCCTGTCCTATAAAGTCACGTTGAGTCAGAGTTGATTCAACAGCCCCAGGTTTGGTTTTTGCACTTTCGTGACTTAAAATACTTGAAGCACACAGGACAGTGCCTGCACATGAGACGTGCCGTCTGTTAGCTGCGACTGTGCAGGTAGTCCCCAGAGTACGAGGTGGTCAGCGTGTGGTGAGCCGCTCTGACAGTGGTCTGTTTCAGTTTTATTTTGTACTTCTTATTATCAGGATATATAGATATATATAAATGTCTGTAAGTTTATATGTAATGTTCCCAACCCCCAAAGACAAATAAAGAGTCAATTATAAAGATGCTGATAATAACAAGCAATATTAATTAAAACATTTTCTCAAAGGACGTAGGTGACTTATGTCAGAACTGACTTAAGACAGAGACCTCGGTATAGAACACCCCCACCCCCCACCTACCTATACTATATGTGAGAAACTTCTCACATCTCTACAAGCAGTTTTATCAAAGTACTGTCATGTTTCCCAACTTAAAGGCAAAGCAAAATCCCTGAGCAGTTGACTAACTTTTCACAGATTACACCGGCAGTAAATGTCAGAATTGGAATATAAATTTAAACCAAACCTTATGTTCCTATGGTTATACTTCACCTGCCTGCATGCCCGTATTTGCCCACACAGACACACACATAAATACAACTGCATCTTTCATAATCATTCTACAAATTTTTAGTTGAAATACCACTTTTGTTAAAAGACTCAGAATAAATGGTAACTGCAACGGATATGACATTGAAGAATAGAATAATGGCTGACAGCTCAACTGCCAACAGGCAAAGTTCCCAGCGCAGCTCAACTGCTTCTTAGTGTATACCTTTGGAGGAGTTACTAATCTCTCTGAGCCTCACTCTCTCATCTGTAAAATGGGACAAATGTAAACTAAAGTTCTAAAATTGCTGAACAGCAACAGATAAAGTGTGCCATTCAAGTTACTATTATTTTAACCCTGATTACTTCCAGTTTCATTCACCTTGATGCTTTGCTCCCACCAGCAGCTCCACGGCCCCTGGCTCAGGCAATCTTTAGAATAGATGTTCACGTGTTTTCTGGATGTGGGCTGGAAAAGTCTCCTGGCCTTTCCCAATCAGAGTGCATGTCAATGCCAAGAACCAGCTTTCCGCTGGGACCTTCCTGCTGGCAGGGTCTGCGCACGGTGGCTCTAGGCTTGAGGCCGGGTGCCACGTAGTGCAGTGCCTAGTGGGCCAGCCTGGCGGTGAGACGTGACTTCGTGAGGCACAAGCTGGCTTTTGGAACCACACACACTGATTCGAGAGGGTCTCCAAGTTCAAGGGAAATCTGAATTTTGAAGGATGGAATTTTCCCCACAAACTTTGGAAACCTCATGTAGTCCTTTTTGAAGTGTATCGAATATACCTGGAAGGCAAGTGGGACAGCTCACACTACACCTATTCACAGAGGAGGGGTGGGAGTCACCCAGGCTATGACAGCTAATTACCAGGAAAAGCAGACGCCTCTGCCGCCCGATCCAGGCCCACACCATCGGACCAGCAGTTGTCACCCTGCCACACATCGCCTAATCTAGGGCCAGGTGAAGCGGCCCCCACGCCAGAGCGGCCCTCAGCTCGGTGAATCACAATCTCTGCGGGACTGCATTGGACAGCCTGGACTGAGAACTTTGCATTCCCCAATCCTGCCTTTCCCATGAGCGAGGCCGCTCACTAAGCCAGCTTTACAGATTAGCAAAAGATTGGCACCCCAAAATGAGGGAGATTTTCTCTTACCTTCCTGACCTGAACTATAACATTCATAAATAACTCCTGGACATAAGTGAAAACATCAAGAGTAAAGTAAAGCTTGAATATATATGTGTACATATACACACACACGGGATTTCCCCCTAAATGATCAAAACAACATATGTTTATAGCAGAAAACCTATAGGAAGTATGAAAAGCATAAAAGGACATGCATAAATCACCTAAAATCTTAGCATTCAGAAATAATTTTGGGTGCCATTTTGTTCATTTCATTGAGTTTATATTTTTGTTTTCTATGAATCAAATGCCTTTGCAATTTTCAATCTATTTTTTATAATATGTGTAATACTATGTTTATCTTTTTTCTCTTTCTTTTATTCATTGGGATTTAATGTATATAATATATCATTCCATATTTCAATCACATCAGGTAGAATTGTACAATTGCTACCACAATCAGTTTCCAACCATTCTTTTTCTACCTGGACTCCTTGACATAATCTCCCTTTTATATGACATTTTATTCAGATCATTTATTTACACAATAAAATAATATTTTTAATTGTGAAAACAGAAACCCCTGCCACTAAGTTGATTCCAAGGAATGGTGACTCTCTATAAGGTTTCCAAGACTGTAGACCTTTTTGAGAGCAGGCAGCCTTGTCTTTGTCCCACAATGTGACTGGTGACTTTGTACTGTGGCCCTTGCAGTTAGCAGCCCAGTGCTTATTCCATAATGTCACCAAGAATCCTTATAAAATATATGGCCACTTAAAAATACTCTGTCATGCAGACGTACCACATTTTACTTAAGTGGCCCCTTTTGTTAGCCTTTAAGAATATTTCTTTTGTAATGTAAATTAAAACACAATGATATAGAGGGAGGGGATCGGGTGGCGGGGCTCACTAAAAAAAAAAAAACAAAAAACACAATGATATAATGAACATTCTTGTATATACTTTTATGGACATTTATGATCATTTCCAGACAGTAGTTGATTTAACGAAGTCAAAGCGTCATTTTTGGAAATTGTCAATTTTCCCATAAAATTTAGTGAAGTGGGCCCATTTCTAAGTAAATGAGAGATAGATGGATAGCATCATTGATTAATCCAACCAAAACACATTGCCCTGAGTCTGTTCCAATTTGCATAGGCCCTATGAGAGCCCTGGTGGTGTGGTTGATTAAGCTTTGAGCTCCGCACCACGAGGTCAGAAGTTGGAAAACATTAACAGCTCTGGGGGAGAATATGAGGTTTTCTACTCTTGTAAAGATTTATAGTAACAGGATCAGTTCTACTCTGTCCTATGGAGTGCTTTGATTTCATTAGTCACCAAGAGCTCATTTCAGTTTTAAAAAAAGAGAGTCATCCTTATTAAAAATTGAGGAAGCAAAAGGAAAGCCACTGTTTCCACCACCTCCACCAACAGCACCTTCAGGCCTCATTCACAGTGGTCTCCTGCATGTCACCGCCCAGTGGTGGAGATGGGGGTGCCTGAGGGGAAGCTCTCTTTACAACCTCCATAGGCCCAGGCTCCTTTGACCTTTTGGTGCCCCCATTTTCAACCACAGAACAGGAAGTTAGACTAGAGAGTTGAACGTGGAATGTTTTATGGCTCAAGAGAGAAGGTGGCATATTATGCTTCTTCTCTTCTTCCACTGGTCCGAATTTGGTCACGCCAGGAGGTGGGAAATGAGATTAGCAGTATGTCAAGGGGGAAAGACAGTCTCTACCACAGGACCTGGCAAGAGGAGGCTCTTGTGTCAACTCTAGCGCCTACCTTTCATGGTCCCCAGCCTCTATATTCTTGGGTGTAATTCTCTGCCCAGTCAGCTCTTATTCCTCTGCTCCGGCTCTCTCGGTAATGTCCCTCCCCTTGCACACTACGGCTTCTGCTGGGGTGCTTCGTCTTAGCACCCAGCCCTCCTGTTATTTCTGAATTCCAATGGAGACGATGGGTGAGTGGCCATATTCAGTATTAGCCATGTCCTTCCTGGGTTTGCCAAAAGTGGCCCACCTGGCCTAGCAACTGGACTCAGGTGCGATGGACAGAGAGACATAGTTACTGACCTGGTTAGAGAGTGCTCTCTTGGCCCCCTTGGCTGCCCCTTAGTGGGAATGTTAAGGGGTGGTCCCCCACTCCCTGGACATCACTCAGAAGACTGAGATGGTCTGCTATAGAGAGGAGGTAGGAACCTCACTCCCACCTGCATGCCAGTTAGACTATGAAAATTCTTGGGTAAGAGCAAAACCCAAGAGAGTTCTGGGAAAGTGGACTTCTTCAATGAGGCTCTCTGAAGCTACTCAGTAGTGGGGTG